CATAAAAAATCGTTCTGATCCCAAACTTTTGATCGGTAGTGTATAGATAGATAGATAGATAGATAGATAGATCAAATTAATGCATCACAAAAATGTTTGCAAAGCCATCAACTGATCCAAAACTCTGTCACACTGACCCTGGTCCATCTTTAATGTTGAACCCAGTAATGTATTCAGATTTTCACTGATCGTTATTGTGAAAGGAAAAGTCAAGTGTCTGTGTTTCTCACAGAATATGCAGTCGATCTGCTCTACGCTTTTGCGAACTGCTCTGGTTTGGACCTCATCTTCGGTTTGAATGCTTTGCTCCGAACCAGTGAAAACACATGGAACAGCACAAACGCAGAATTGCTGTTGAAGTACTGTGAGTCCAGGCAGTATGTGATGTCCTGGGAACTGGGGAATGGTAAGATTTGGGATCTTTTGTTTGATTTTTGCTAATGCATGTATACATGTACCTGTTTTGAATTTAAATCTGTTGTTTTAGAACCCAACAGTTATGAGAAAAAAGCTGGAATCAGAGTGGATGGGTACCAGCTCGGTCAGGATTTTGTCCATTTGCATCAAATCCTTCAGCAATCTGCGGTCTATCACTCAACAGGACTATATGGACCAGATGTCAGTCAGCCACGAGATCACCGCAAAGATTTGTTAACTGGGTAAGTGTCCAGAGAAAATAGTTCTTATTTTTTAATGGACTTTCAGAGATGCATCTTGTCTGCACCATCAGTCTTACTAATGCATTTGAGTATCGAAGAATGGTAACATGGTTGAACATTCACTTTTATAGGTTTTTGGAGACTGGAGCAAAGGCCATTACTGCATGCACCTGGCATCAGTAAGTTATGATTTACTTCCTTTCACAAAATCAGAAATAAATTAAATTTGCTTTTTATGAGTCTTTGTATTGAACTTGTTCTTGTTTTTCTTCTTTACAGCTATTATGTGAATGGCCGAGACACGTCTTTACATGATTTCCTTGACCCTGAAGTGCTTGATACTCTCGCAACAAAAATT